TATATATATATATATATATATATATATATATATATATTACAACATTTATTTATATATATCAAAGAAACATACTAGTTAAGTTGATAGGTTATTGTAGTGGTTATAGGTTAGACACCTTACACATGCATTCACATTATGAGAATGATCTATTTAGTGAATAAATTATGTGTTTAAATTCTATTGAATTTAAAAGTTCTTTATGTCAACAACAATTATAGTATCTCGAACAAGATTAGTCTCTATCCTAAGGTTAGAGGATTCGTGTGACAGAATTGAAAAAAACATAACTATAATAGTTAATCGATATTATCAGAGGTAATGATCTTTAGGGATCTAATCTTAATTTTAAACATATTGACTCTTTTTTTTTTTCTTATCTAACATAGGACGCATTTGAGTCAAAACAACCAAAATCTACTTCGTATCTAATAAAAGTTAAAATAGTAATAATCAATTAGACATCTTGGTAAGTATGGTCTAAAATTACTAACATCATGTCACGAATAGATAAATGTCTACTACATACATTGCATTGTTAATTTGCCACTATCTTGTTGAATTAGGGTTTTGTCATTTTGACAAGGTTGTTTTTACTTGAACTCATCATTGCATCATGCATGCTTAACTAACTAGATAGTTAGGATTGGAAACGGATGACTATCATTTTCTTTCCTTTTCCCTTTTCATTTTTATGCTAAGACAATGATCGATAGTAAGCCTTTTGCAATAACATGAAAAGATTTATGAAATATGTGAGATGATTCACAACCAATACCCATGTCCAATGTGTTAAAATATTAAAATACATTATTCATATATTTCAAAATATTAAAGTTAATAACAATTTCAAAATTTTGAGAAATTTTATTATATGGGTCATGATATTACACCAACATATTAAGTTTGATATAATAATTCATTAAGTATGTAGATTAATTCGATACATATAATAATTTAGAATTATTTCAACTTAATTAATTAGTGGTCATAAATTAAAATTATGAGCATGAAATTGTATTAAATATTTAAAAATATTTTTCCTGTTTATAGAGATACTACTCAACTCGAATAAGATTGTTTTTAATAGATAATATATCTAACTTAAATATAAAAAAAATAAAAAAAGTTTGATATCTCTCCATGAATACCTTATTAAACCTAGTGGAGAAAATGAAAATAGAGCCATAAATAAGCTCTTCCGCCGCATACACAGTTTGGTAAAGTCTTTACTTGTAGGTTTAGTAGGTTTTACTATAAACCAAAAGTATACGTGAACTGAAGGATTGTCGTATATATAGCCAATTAGAATTAATTAATATGAGGTCAAAGTCGTAAATATGAATGATAATAGTCATTTCAATGTCAATACGTACACATTATACTGTAAACATAGAATATAGTCAGATATAGATTTCAACCATTGTAGTGTCACGTATAACTTGAGTTGAGTATAGAAACTCGTCTCAAGTCAATGCATATGAAACTAAAATATGAATGTCATGAATTGAAAAAGAAAAATCGAGTCACATGAATGCCGTGAAAATTTTTCCACCTTTTCACATCATTCATTACACGAAAAAAAAATGTAGGAAATTAATTAACTAGGTACCGAAATAGTAGTGATGGTGTACAACAAGTTGGAATTTTCTTGAACCGAACAAGGCAGCGCCGTTACTTATGCCCATCAAATGAAATGAACAAAAAAGAAAGAGAGAGAGGTATTGACAGTTGGCCATCACTCACATCTAGGAATTATTTTTAAAGTTAAAATTCTTTTAGTTCATTATAATATAAAGTGAAATATAACAAATATAATATATATTTTATTTATTGTATAAGATTCTTTTTAACAATAATTGGTATTAAGGACTATTTTTGTAACATATGTATTTGAGTGGTATGGTGTATTTGTAATCTCTGACTTCAAAGATAATACAAGTACATGTTTTATGCATGTCAAGCATTTTTCATTTTTCTAAATTTATAATTTGAATATGGAGATTCAAACTTTTCAATATTTGTCAAATTTTATCTCTTATTAGCGTGTTTCTTTTTTGTATTTTGATCTTTTTTAATTCACTTTTCATTTTTACCTAGTGTTTTTATCTTTTTTAGTATAATACTTTTATGTTTATTTTCATATATATAATAATTATTTTTTTAAAAATAAATTATTTTTACTAACTCAAGTTCTTAAGCTTGTCCCTGATTGAGAAATTAAAATAATAATATATAGAGCTCTAAATTTAAATATCTGTATTTTTTTTATTATTAGTTCTAGATAATGAACTCGTGCGATACATGTGATTGAAATTTACGAGAATATAATATAAAGTTCTATTTCTATAAAATAATATTATTTTTATAAATTAAAAAGTGTAACATGATACATTTAAAGTCTAAAATTATTTTAACATTAGATATTAGTCCATGCATTACACAAGAAATGATATACTATAGTTTAGAAAAATTAAATTTATATTAAATTTTATATTTAATAAATTAGTAAAGAGTTGTGAATTAATAAATAGGAAGAGTTTGAGAAATGATTTTTCTTCTACCTTTCACATAATTTATTATATGTGAAAAAAAAAATATAAATATGATGAAGATTCTTTTAAATTTTAAATAACAATTAAATGTTATTATTATAGTTTAAAGGTAGGAAAACGTAACAGTTAATATATATGGAAAGAGTTTGAGAATCATGATTTTTCTTCTATCTTTCAAATAATTTATTATATGTGGAAAATATATATATATATATATATATATATATGATGAAGATTCTTTTAAATTTTGAATAACAATTTAATGTTATTATTATACTTTAAATGTGGAAAAATGTAATAGTTAACTCAATGTGTAATGTAGTTAGTAGATTGAAACAGGGCGTTCCCAAATTGGAACGGGCTGTTCCAAACTACTAAAACAAGAGTGATTTAGTAGCTCAGAACAGGTCGTTCCTGTCGCAACCCGAAAATTTCCGATCTCGCGACGTATGGTACTACCATGGTATTCATCCTCATGACCCCTCAAACAGCCACGATCTTAAAGTTTCCGATTTGATGAGCAAGGATAAGCTTGATTGGAACGCTGACTTGATTAACTCCATTTTCGACATAGACACCAGTAACCATATTCTCAACATCCCCATCCTCAACCCACACTGTGAAGATAAACGCATCTGGGACTGGAACCCCTCTGGTTCTTACACTGTTCGATCTGCATATAAAGGTTTCCTCTAACATAGCCTTTGCTTGGGTCATCTCTGTACCCCTGGTCCTTGGGAAACCATATGGAATCTTTACATTCCCCACAAGATCAAGCACTTCATTTGGAGATTGATGCGGGACATCCTCCCTACTCGACCAAACCTTCAAAAAAAAGGCATTAGCTGTCCCAGTACGTGTTTCAGATGCGATATTGATATTGAAAACACCTGGCACACTTTCTTCAGCTGCCCATCAGCCAAGCTATGCTGGCAGGGAAGTAAATTCCACTCTCGCATCATGAAATTGATTAACTCTTCTGATGGTGTCTTTAACCTTATTTCTCACATTTTACAGTGTTGGGCTCCCCAAGACGTCGCAGAATTTTCCCTGATCCTTTGGAGCATGTGGCATAGTCGGAATGCTTTGCACTGGAACAACACTCCTTGGAACCAGAACGAGATCATCCTTCGTGCCTCCTCCATGCTTCATGATTGGGCCACCGCTAACAGAGCTACTTCGGCGCAGCACTCCAAACCCCCTCCTAAACAGCGCTGGTCTCCTCCTTCCCAAGGGTCTCTTAAGTGCAACATCGCCACTTACTCCTTCCCGATGGAAGGGCTTACTGGAATTGGCATCTGCATTAGAGACCACCAAGGAGCCTTTATTAGAGCTCGAATAACCACCATCAAAGGCAGTATGGAGCCCCACGTTGGTAAAGCCTTTGCTTTTCTCCATGCTATCAACTGGACCCACAATCAGAACTTGGAGAATATTATATTCGAAACAGATTGTAAACGCATTCCCCCTTATTTCTCCAATCACCTTTCCGCAGACACATCTGAATTTGGTTGCCTGCTTGACCAATGTAAGCCTTTTATGGCAAAACCCTCAAACTCTCATGTGAGTTTCTCCCCTAGATCTGCCAATATTGTTGCTCATAAGCTTGCTAAAGCAGCAATAGACAGTGCAAATCTTAATGATTTCTTCCACATCCCAAATTGTATCCTTTATGACATTCTCAATGATATGAACTAAGCTTTTGTTTTTCAAAAAAAAAAAATAAATAATCGCACAATCCAAATCTAATAAAAAAAGACATGATATGATTTATTGAATTATATTGAAGTTAATTTATCTAAACAAATATTGAAATTGAGATATGATCCATTAAATAATCATTTGATTCCATTAATCTAACCTTTGCGAGCTAAATGAATATCATTATAGCTATTGATTCAACAGAAAAATCAATCGGTAAACGTTTTCATAGAAGTTTCCTTCTATGAAATTAATTTAATGAAAACCGTATTAAATGATCATGACAATATCTTTTTGGTACAAAATGATCATGACAATATCTGAATATTTCTTTAAAATTAGATACGTAATATCTGTCTGAATGTACAAGTTGTTCAACAAAAAAAAAAAAAATTAATTTCATAGAAGGAAACTTCTATGAAAACGTTTACCGATTGATTTTTCTGTTGAATCAATAGCTATAATGATATTCATTTAGCTCGCAAAGGTTAGATTAATGGAATCAAATGATTATTTAATGGATCATATCTCAATTTCAATATTTGTTTAGATAAATTAACTTCAATATAATTCAATAAATCATATCATGTCTTTTTTTATTAGATTTGGATTGTGCGATTATTTATTTTTTTTTTTTGAAAAACAAAAGCTTAGTTCATATCATTGAGAATGTCATAAAGGATACAATTTGGGATGTGGAAGAAATCATTAAGATTTGCACTGTCTATTGCTGCTTTAGCAAGCTTATGAGCAACAATATTGGCAGATCTAGGGGAGAAACTCACATGAGAGTTTGAGGGTTTTGCCATAAAAGGCTTACATTGGTCAAGCAGGCAACCAAATTCAGATGTGTCTGCGGAAAGGTGATTGGAGAAATAAGGGGGAATGCGTTTACAATCTGTTTCGAATATAATATTCTCCAAGTTCTGATTGTGGGTCCAGTTGATAGCATGGAGAAAAGCAAAGGCTTTACCAACGTGGGGCTCCATACTGCCTTTGATGGTGGTTGTTCGAGCTCTAATAAAGGCTCCTTGGTGGTCTCTAATGCAGATGCCAATTCCAGTAAGCCCTTCCATCGGGAAGGAGTAAGTGGCGATGTTGCACTTAAGAGACCCTTGGGAAGGAGGAGACCAGCGCTGTTTAGGAGGGGGTTTGGAGTGCTGCGCCGAAGTAGCTCTGTTAGCGGTGGCCCAATCATGAAGCATGGAGGAGGCACGAAGGATGATCTCGTTCTGGTTCCAAGGAGTGTTGTTCCAGTGCAAAGCATTCCGACTATGCCACATGCTCCAAAGGATCAGGGAAAATTCTGCGACGTCTTGGGGAGCCCAACACTGTAAAATGTGAGAAATAAGGTTAAAGACACCATCAGAAGAGTTAATCAATTTCATGATGCGAGAGTGGAATTTACTTCCCTGCCAGCATAGCTTGGCTGATGGGCAGCTGGAGAAAGTGTGCCAGGTGTTTTCAATATCAATATCACATCTGAAACACGTACTGGGACAGCTAATGCCTTTTTTTTGAAGGTTTGGTCGAGTAGGGAGGATTTCCCGCATCAATCTCCAGATGAAGTGCTTGATCTTGTGGGGAATGCAAAGATTCCATATGGTTTCCCAAGGACCAGGGGTACAGAGATGACCCAAGCAAAGGCTATGTTGGAGGAAACCTTTATATGCAGATCGAACAGTGTAAGAACCAGAGGGGTTCCAGTCCCAGATGCGTTTATCTTCACAGTGTGGGTTGAGGATGGGGATGTTGAGAATATGGTTACTGGTGTCTATGTCGAAAATGGAGTTAATCAAGTCAGCGTTCCAATCAAGCTTATCCTTGCTCATCAAATCGAAAACTTTAAGAGCGTGGCTATTTGAGGGGTCATGAGGATGAATACAATGGTAGTTGTTATTGTATTTGATCCAAGGCTCGCCCCAAACAGGAATGGTATTACCGTTCCCAAGCCTCCATCGAGAGCCATTCTTAAGGAGATGTTGGGTGCTCCAAAGACTTTTCCATGTGTAGCTGGGATTATGACCCAGAGGAGCATTGAGGAAGTTACCATCGGGGTAGTATTTGGCACGGTATATTTTGCTGATCAAAGAGTTTGGGTTGGTGAGAAGCCTCGAAGCTTGCTTACCAAGCATAGCAAGGTTAAAGACAGATAGGTTTTTGAAGCCAAGTCCACCCTCGGGTTTGGGAATGGTAAGCTTATCCCAACGCATCCATTTGATTCCTTTGTGAGTATTTGAGTTTGCACCCCACCAAAAGGCATTTAGTAATTTTTCGATCTCATCAATGGTTCGGGGTGGGATCATGAAGACACTCATAGCATAGGAAGGGAGAGCCTGCAAAACAGACTTGATGAGGGTCTCTTTACCTGCCTTAGATAGTGATTTGTGGCTCCAGGACTGTAGTTTTTTCCATATTCGCTCCTTGATGTACCTGAAAACATCATTTTTATTTCGACCAATCATAGATGGGAGTCCTAGGTACTTGCTAGTGGTCTCGCAACTATGGACGTGTAGAATATTTGATAACATGTTGTGGATAGCAGGGGGTGCATGTCTGTTTAGAAACACTTCAGATTTGTCGAAGTTTATGGCTTGTCCCGAGGCTATCTCGAAGGTTAACCATATTCTCAACATCCCCATCCTCAACCCACACTGTGAAGATAAACGCATCTGGGACTGGAACCCCTCTGGTTCTTACACTGTTCGATCTGCATATAAAGGTTTCCTCCAACATAGCCTTTGCTTGGGTCATCTCTGTACCCCTGGTCCTTGGGAAACCATATGGAATCTTTGCTTTATTTATTTATTTATTTTTATTTTATTTTATTTTTTTTGCCTAGAACGCCCTTTGTGGGTTTTCATTCTAACAACTTCTTAACAAATAATGTTTCTCTCTTGTTGAAATCACTTTCCGAGAAAACTCTATTCACTTGCATCAGCGTTTGAGGGATTCCTCCTCCTCAAGTTCTCTTTATTAACCAGGACATCCTCCCTACTCGACCAAACCTTCAAAAAAAAGGCATTAGCTGTCCCAGTACGTGTTTCAGATGCGATATTGATATTGAAAACACCTGGCACACTTTCTTCAGCTGCCCATCAGCCAAGCTATGCTGGCAGGGAAGTAAATTCCACTCTCGCATCATGAAATTGATTAACTCTTCTGATGGTGTCTTTAACCTTATTTCTCACATTTTACAGTGCTGGGCTCCCCAAGACGTCGCAGAATTTTCCCTGATCCTTTGGAGCATGTGGCATAGTCGAAATGCTTTGCACTGGAACAACACTCCTTGGAACCAGAACGAGATCATCCTTCGTGCCTCCTCCATGCTTCATGATTGGGCCACCGCTAACAGAGCTACTTCGGCGCAGCACTCCAAACCCCCTCCTAAACAGCGCTGGTCTCCTCCTTCCCAAGGGTCTCTTAAGTGCAACATCGCCACTTACTCCTTCCCGATGGAAGGGCTTACTGGAATTGGCATCTGCATTAGAGACCACCAAGGAGCCTTTATTAGAGCTCGAACAACCACCATCAAAGGCAGTATGGAGCCCCACGTTGGTAAAGCCTTTGCTTTTCTCCATGCTATCAACTGGACCCACAATCAGAACTTGGAGAATATTATATTCGAAACAGATTGTAAACGCATTCCCCCTTATTTCTCCAATCACCTTTCCGCAGACACATCTGAATTTGGTTGCCTCCTTGACCAATGTAAGCCTTTTATGGCAAAACCCTCAAACTCTCATGTGAGTTTCTCCCCTAGATCTGCCAATATTGTTGCTCATAAGCTTGCTAAAGCAGCAATAGACAGTGCAGGCTCTCCCTTCCTATGCTATGAGTGTCTTCATGATCCCACCCCGAACCATTGATGAGATCGAAAAATTACTAAATGCCTTTTGGTGGGGTGCAAACTCAAATACTCACAAAGGAATCAAATGGATGCGTTGGGATAAGCTTACCATTCCCAAACCCGAGGGTGGACTTGGCTTCAAAAACCTATCTGTCTTTAACCTTGCTATTCTTGGTAAGCAAGCTTGGAGGCTTCTCACCAACCCAAACTCTTTGATCAGCAAAATATACCGTGCCAAATACTACCCCGATGGTAACTTTCTCAATGCTCCTCTGGGTCATAATCCCAGCTACACATGGAAAAGTCTTTGGAGCACCCAACATCTCCTTAAGAATGGCTCTCGATGGAGGCTTGGGAACGGTAATACCATTCCTGTTTGGGGCGAGCCTTGGATCAAATACAATAACAACTACCATTGTATTCATCCTCATGACCCCTCAAACAGCCACGATCTTAAAGTTTCCGATTTGATGAGCAAGGATAAGCTTGATTGGAACGCTGACTTGATTAACTCCATTTTCGACATAGACACCAGTAACCATATTCTCAACATCCCCATCCTCAACCCACACTGTGAAGATAAACGCATCTGGGACTGGAACCCCTCTGGTTCTTACACTGTTCGATCTGCATATAAAGGTTTCCTCTAACATAGACTTTGCTTGGGTCATCTCTGTACCCCTGGTCCTTGGGAAACCATATGGAATCTTTACATTCCCCACAAGATCAAGCACTTCATTTGGAGATTGATGCGGGACATCCTCCCTACTCGACCAAACCTTCAAAAAAAAGGCATTAGCTGTCCCAGTACGTGTTTCAGATGCGATATTGATATTGAAAACACCTGGCACACTTTCTTCAGCTGCCCATCAGCCAAGCTATGCTGGCAGGGAAGTAAATTCCACTCTCGCATCATGAAATTGATTAACTCTTCTGATGGTGTCTTTAACCTTATTTCTCACATTTTACAGTGCTGGGCTCCCCAAGACGTCGCAGAATTTTCCCTGATCCTTTGGAGCATGTGGCATAGTCGAAATGCTTTGCACTGGAACAACACTCCTTGGAACCAGAACGAGATCATCCTTCGTGCCTCCTCCATGCTTCATGATTGGGCCACCGCTAACAGAGCTACTTCGGCGCAGCACTCCAAACCCCCTCCTAAACAGCGCTGGTCTCCTCCTTCCCAAGGGTCTCTTAAGTGCAACATCGCCACTTACTCCTTCCCGATGGAAGGGCTTACTGGAATTGGCATCTGCATTAGAGACCACCAAGGAGCCTTTATTAGAGCTCGAACAACCACCATCAAAGGCAGTATGGAGCCCCACGTTGGTAAAGCCTTTGCTTTTCTCCATGCTATCAACTGGACCCACAATCAGAACTTGGAGAATATTATATTCGAAACAGATTGTAAACGCATTCCCCCTTATTTCTCCAATCACCTTTCCGCAGACACATCTGAATTTGGTTGCCTGCTTGACCAATGTAAGGTTCCCAAACTAGAACGGGTCGTTCTAAACTACTAAATAGACCTATAAATCCTAGACTGGAACGAGTCGTTCAAAACATGGTTGTTGTGACTTAAATTCAACTCTAGAATGGGTCGTTCTAGTTTAAGAATGGGTCGTTCTAGACGTGCCAGAACAGGCCATTTTGGTTTTAGAACGGGTCGTTCTGTATGTGAATTTTACACATGACGAAGGAGCTCGGAATGGGCTATTCAGGATTCAAAACGGGTCGTTCTGGCCACTCCTGATCTCTATAAATAGGTATTGAGGAGGGAAAGAAAGGGAAAGAAAGAGAGAGAGGAAGGGAGAGAAGGACCCTGGTCCGCTAGGAAGCTTACTTTTGGAGGATTGAAGTCCAGGAGTCAAGATTTGGAGGAAACTTCTTCGTATTCTCATTTCTTGGCTAGTTTGAGTCAATTTTCAGGTGAAGGAAGCTAGAATGTAGGTTGTTGGGTTGCATGTGAGTTTAGAAACTCAATTGATGCGTTTGGTGAGTGCATGTTGAATCTGAGTTGGTTAAGTTGAAAGTTGCTTTGGGTGCTTAGGTTGATTGATGTTGTTTGGGTGTGTAAGTTGGCATGATAGATGGGTTGTAAACATGTAGTATGAGTTGTTTTATGTAATGAAATGTTGTGAATATGTGATATGTTGTTAAAGTTACTATACGTTGTGTATTTGGTGAAAATAAGTTATTTTTATGTTGTTTATTGTTGAATTATTAATAAGTTGAGATGTATAAGTTGAAGTAGCTTATTGTTGTAAAGTTGATATTGTGTAGAATATAGTTGCTCTAGTTGTTTAATTAAGTAGTATAAAGATGCCTATTGCTATAAATTTGAAAGTTTCCTTAAAGTTGTTGAAGTTGAGATTGATGACTATAGTTGCTTATTGTTGTTAAGATGACTATTGTTGTAAAGTTGTTATGACGTCTATAGTTGTAAAGTGGTAAAGTTGTCAAAGTTGTATAGTTATATAATTGAATAGAAAGTTTTCAAGTTGGTATGTGATGTCTATTGTTGAAAGCTTCTTTTAAGTTGTAAGTTGCCTTAAAGTTGTTAAGTTTCTCTAAAGCTATTGAAGTTGATATTTTAATGACTAAAGTTGTCTATTGTTGTAAAGTTATAAAACTGTCTGTTGTTTTAAAGTTGAAAAGTTGGGGACATATGGTGAAGATATATGTCCTATGTTGAGATACATAGTACTAAGGTGATAAGTTGAAAGTTGTTTTAAAGTTGAATCCCTTAGTACTATGTGGGCGATGTGGAAGTAGTCGATCCATGTCATAGTTGAATGACCAAATTGAGTAAGGTATCTAGTTAGAGATGTAGTCTTTGACTAGGTACTAGAGGGTGCGTGGTACTTGGAGGTAGGCATGGCAATCTAACCCGTCCCCGTGGGTACCCGCCCGAACTAGCCCCGATTTGGACGGGGAAAACCCGTGTTTATCGGGTTCGGGTTCGGGTTCGGGTTCGGGTTTTCCCCGATTGATAAAATCGGGGGCGGGGGCGGGGACGGGGATGTTAATACCCACACCGCCCCCGCACCGCTTAATAATATAATTAAAAAATTATTTTTATATATATATAAACCAAAATTAAAAATATTTATATGTAAAAATTTATATTATTTTTCTTTTCTTTTATTTTTTTAAAATTATTCATATTTATTTAAATGAAAAAAATAAGAAAAAAATAAGAAAAAAAATAGGAGCGGGGGCGGGGACGGGGCGGGGAAACCCGAACCCCGCCGGGGACGGGGATGGGGACCTAGATTTTACCCCCGGCGGGTATCGGGGGCGGGGACGGGGGCGGTTTAAATTTGCGGGGGCGGAGGCGGGGAACCTAAAACCTGCCCCCGCCCCTCCCCGTTGCCATGCGTACTTGGAGGGCAGTGGGTGGACTAACCCCATATGTGGATTGGTTATGCAGACCAAGGCCGTGGTAGGTTCATAACCAAACCCTTCTACCCTAATAGTAGTACTGGACCTCCTAGTCTAAGTGGCACACCTGAGCAATCATTTATTATTGTCTATACCTGGTTCTCTTTGGAGTTACACGATGCCCTATACCTGACCTGGTTAAGATAGGTCAAACGTTGGATTTGGTAGGGTTTATGCCACCTAGACTGCTCAACCTCAGTTATTAGACCTCTCCTAGTTGTATATGTGTGACGATGCATTAGTTGATGTTGCATGTGTTGTTGCATTCAAGTTGCATATAATTTTATATGAATGAGCTAAGAGTCAAACTATTGTGTTAAAAACTATGTGATTGTGTTGTGATGATTTGTTGCTGATCACTAGGACTAGAGGAGAAGTTTTTGAAGTTTCTCATCCCATTATGCGAATTGAGATAGTTGTGGTGCTCTAAGAGCCCAATTTGTTGAAAAACCCTCCTTCAGAAGTTGTCCCTTGGAGTGGATGATGTGTTGTTCTCCTCTAGGACTTAGTCGATCCCGTGTGTGGGCAAGGTCGAGGCACACGTGTATGAAGCGACCATGGTATATGGGTCAGGCCGAGCTATATCGATTACAAGCGGCTAATTTGAGTAAAGTATGATGTGTTGAAAATGTTGTTGCTATTATGATGAGTTGTCTAATATTTTGCGTTGAGGTGTTCATATTGTGTTGATCGGTGTTGGTGTGTTGAAATAAGTTAAATGATGTTAAAATGTGTAGTAGGTGTGTTGTTTGTCTTCTATGTTGGACGTGAAGATGATTATATAGTTATTCGTGTTGCATATTTAATTATTATGAATTGTTTATTGTCTCTAGCTTACCCTTGCATGTTTCCATGTGATTTAGACTGAGATGATCATACGATGTATGGGAGTAGGGCAAGGATAGGCTGGGAGATAATTGCTAGAGGCCACAGGAGGTGCCTGGAGTGAATGTTTTATCTTGTAGGCTACCTTATAGTAGCATATTTTGTTGTATAAAGTTGAAGTGTTGTTGGTTGCTTGCTTAGCAACTTATGTTGTAAATATATTATTTTACTATTTTAGTATATATTAGTGCGTAGTATTGTTCCGTAGTGTGACGACCATGGCAGGTCGTTACACTTTTATGGTATCAGAGCAGTTTGAGTCTAGTGGACGCTTTGTGGGGGTGGTCCCTTTAGGCTTTTGTTATGTTGAACTTTGTGTTGTGTTGAATGTTGTGCTGAGTAGTTATAGTGTGTTGTGCTGAATGAGTTGCTATTTTATAGAAGATGTCTAGAGTAAATGAGCAGATAGCCCATGCCATGGAGATGATGGCTATGGCTATGCAACAACAGAATGCCTACTTTGCTAGGGTGGATGCTGAGAGAGCTACAACTGGTGTAGCAAGACCAGTTGGGTCACAAGAGAGTCAGGACTTGGTTGAGTTCCACAAGTGTCATCCTTCACAATTCAAGGGTGATGCAGACCCAAAGGTAGCTGACCACTGGATCTGTGAGATGGAGAAGATATTTACAGTGTTGGGATGTTCACAGGAGGGAAGTTGGCTTATGTTATTTATATGCTTGTAGGAGAAGCTGAGTATTGGTAGAGGGGCACTCATCAGATATTGTTGGCCAGAAGAGTGGCTGTTGATTGGGAATGCTTCAAGAGAGTGTTCCTCAAGAAGTATTTCCTTGAGAGTGTGAGACAATCCTAGGAGGTGGAGTTCATGAGATTGTATCAGGGGAGCTTGACAGTCTCAGATTATGCGATGAGGTTCGAGCATTTGGCTCATTTTTTTTATTCATAGGCTATCTTTGAAGCCTGGAAGTGCATAAAGTTTGTAGAAGTTTTAAAGCATGAGCTGAAGAGGGTGGTAGTGTTTATGGCTATCACTGAGTTTCCGGTCTTGGTTGAGAAGGCGAAAGTTGTTGAGCGGTTAGAAGGTGGCAACCAAGTGATGAAGACTACTGAGGGACCAGCGGGGTCCAAGAGGGGTAGAGGTTAGAGGAAGCCTTATGATAGGCCCCAATCACAACAAGGGGGTCCTGTCACAAAGAAACCTACTGACACAGCCAGAGGTGGGAGTCAGAGTGGAGCTGCCACTCTTAGATGTTACAGGTGTGGTGGACCCCACTTCATTCATGATTGCCCTCATACCGAGAGCAGGTGCTTCAGGTGTGGCCAGATGGGTCATGTGTCGACTAGTTGTCCTATAGGTGCCAGACAGACTAAGAGTGCTTCGAGAGGTGATAGACCTACTACAGCTAGGAGGGTTTTTGCCTTGACCGGAGCTAAAGCTTCCACTTCATCTGATCTAGTGAAGGGGAAGGGTAAAGCTACTGGTAAGGATGTGATGATTTTGTTTGATTCAAGAGCCTCCCACTCCTTTATTTGCTATGCTTGTACTGAGAGGTTAAGTCTACCTGTGTGTGATTTGGGGTTGAGACTGCTTGTGTCTACGCCCACTTGTGCTTCTGTTGTTGCTTCTGAGATGTGTGATAGGAAGTATAAGGTAAACTTGATCTGTTTGCCTTTAGTGGATATTGACATAATCTCAGGGAGGATTGATTGTCTTTCAATCACATTCTTATAGATTGTGCCAATAGGGAGTTGGTTTTCCCTCAGGTGGAGGATGAGTTATTGATTTCAGCTAGCCAAGCTGAAGTGTTGTTGAGGGATGAAGTAGAGTGTTGTATTTTGCTTGCTGCGATGAGTGTGGAGACCTAAAAGATTATTCCTGAAATAGAAGTTGTAAAGGAATTTTTGGATGTGTTTTCGGATGACGTACCTGGGTTACCTCCTATTAGGTACATTGAGTTTAGTATTGATTTGGTTCCTAGTGCAGGGCCAGTGTCAGTTGCTCTCTATAAGATGGCCCCAACAAAGTTGGTTAAATTGAAGTGTCAGGTGGAAGAGTTAAAGAGAATATAATATAAACTTCTACTTTTATGAAAATATTATTTTTATAAATTAAAAAGTGTAAGATGATACATTTGGAGTCTAAAATTATTTTAACATTGAATATTCACTATAAGAAAAATGCTAATTTCTGACGGAAACAAGTAAATTTCCAATAGAATAAAGTATTTCTGACGGATTTCTCACGGATTTAAATCCATATATAGGAAAAAGGGGCGTCGAAAAAAAAATTCGTCGAAAATACTTTATTTCGTCGAAAATTTCCGACGAAAATATCCGTCGAAAAAATTTTGATAGAAATTTCCATTTTTGTCGGTAATTTTTAACGGATACATATGTCGAAATTTTAATAAATTTATTAATGTAACAATCCTTATATTTGGTCTCTCAAGGGTTCTATTTCACGACATTTCATTTTTTAGCGTGTTTTATCCTTACTTGCGCAATTTATGGGAAACTTCCCAAAAGGTCACCCATCCTTTCATTACTACAGGTCAAACACGCTTAACTGTGAAGTTCTGATGAGATAAGCTATCGAAATGTATATGCATGTTGTCTATATTTTTACAAATTAATTCATTTAAGTCATCCCCAACTATACAATCTCATACTTGTACTATAATAATAATAT